TTAGGACCAATGGATTAGGACATACGTTTTATGACATTCTTAAAGGAGTTGACAGAGACATCTTCTATTAATGCTTGATCAATAATATGATTAGGTAGGTTATTATTATTGGTCCTTCATTAACATTTATTTTTCATTAACATTTATTGGTCCACTTATTGGTCCTTCATTAACATTTATTATTCATAAACTTCATTAACTTCATTAACATATTCTCATTCATAAACTTCATTAACATTTATTGGTCCACTTATTGGTTCTTCATTAACATGGATTTATAATCTTTCAATCAAAACTGGGATATATGTTGATGAATGGAAAAAGGCGTGGGTAATGCCAATTTTTAAATCTGATGATAGACAAAGATGTGAAAATTACCGACCGATATCTATATTGCCTATTGTCAGTAAAATACTAGAGAGATCGGTTTTCAACCAGATTTATAAGTTTTTGAATGATAATTCGCTGCGATCTAAACATCAATCTGGCTTTCGGCCTAAGCATTCAACTTTAACAACACTCATTCAAATGTGTGACACACTTTATGAGAACATGGATAATGGTCAGTTGAGTGGTGTTGTTTTCCTTGATATTAGAAAAGATTTTGATTCTATTGATCATACAATCTTATTGCAAAAGATGAATGATCAATTTGGAATAAAAAATGTGGAACTGGATTGGTTTAAGTCCTATCTAACTAATAGAGAGCAAGCATGCATTGTCAACGGTGCAATGTCATCACCTAAAACGATTGTGTGCGGAGTTCCGCAGGGATCAATTCTGGGTCCCTTGCTGTTTTTATTATATATTAATGATTTACCCGAATGCCTCGAAAAAACTTCGCCACACCTATACGCTGATGATACTCAAATTTCTACTTCTGCCAAAACTATTGAGGAACTTACTGAAAATCTAAATAATGACCTGAAAAAAGTCGGTGAGTGGCTTGCTCGAAATAAACTGCAACACCACCCAACTAAGACCAAATTAATGTATATCGGTTCAAAGTATAATACTGATACTATGACTTATGATATTCCAGTAATGATGAATAACCAATACATAACTCTTGCTCATTCATACACATGCCTTGGGGTTAAACTTGATGAAAACCTTAATTGGCATGAGCATGTTGAAATGATTTGTAAGAAAGTTGGGGCCGGCATAGGAGCAATGCAACGAATTAAGCCATATGTTCCTATAAATACCCTGCATGCCATTTACAGAGCTTTGATAGAACCGTATTTTGATTATTGTAGTCCATTATGGGACGTCTGTAACCAACAGCTGAAAGATAAGCTTCAAAAGTTCCAAAACCGTGCAGCAAGAATTATAACCGGTGCCAGCTATGAAATAATGTCTGCTGATGTTCTTCGATCCCTTGCTTGGGAAAACTTAGAGATAAGACAACGTACAACTAAATCCACATTAATGTATAAAGTCCTGAATGATTGCGCTGGGCCGAACTTGAAGGATGCTCTAATGAGAAGGGACCTTGTTCAAACCAGTTATAATCTTCGCAATACTTATACTGACCTTACCCTTGCTAAGCCAAAACGAGAATTTCTAAAAAAAGCTTTAAGTATAGCGGAGCTAAATTGTGGAATAGTCTTCCTTCTGATGCGAAGCTAGCGCAATCAATTTATTCTTTTAAAAACTGCCTGAAAGATTCATGCTAACATCTTCTAATATACTGTATATGCATGCTTTAGAAACATGGGTCACACCGTTTGGAACTTAATTCTTGTATTGTAAATAGTTGTATATAATTCTTTATTCTTTTCTATATCATATTTGTAATTTTTAATAGTAACAGACGTCCCTCGTGAAAATCAACTAATCGTTGATGAGGCTAACGTCTTTAAATAAAGTTTACATACATACATACATACATACATACATACAACCACTAACATCTTTCTGGTCTTTCTAGAATATAGAGCAACAACAGTAATATACACAAACTGTAATTATTTTGTTATTACATACAAATCTATATTAATTGTGGACCCCATTTTCCACTTTAATTACACACTTCTTGAACTGAACAATTTAGTAATTTACTACCATTTGTAAAAACTTACTTAATTTATAGAGCCCTCGGTTCGAATGTTCGATCGAGTTTCACATCGTGGGCATAAGATCCCTTCCATTTTTCCACTTGGTAGTAATTGGTTCGACTGTAAATTATTTGTTATCCGTCAATTTTGAGGGAGTGTTTGCATATCCAAATATCCTTGCCGCCATGACTTGAATAGAATGCCTTGTTTAATACGTCACAGTAGATTTGAATTTGCAATTTGCATCAGTGCACCGATGCGAGCGCCCGCAATCTGCATGCAATGCATTGCTCAGCGGCCAAATCTAATGTGACGTAGGGCTCTAAAACAATAGGTGTGATGATGTCACGTTAGATTTCATGTGGAAAAGAACTCGGGACCGATGCATTCACTGATGCAAAATGGATGCCAGTGATGCCAAATCGAATCTAACGTGACGTAGGTGATGCATTTTGCTTCAACTGTGACGTCAAAGGATGCGGTAAAAATAACATATTTTGTCGTGAAAATATTGACGCTTAAGTGTTGCAAAATAACAGAAAGAACACATTTGCGATCGCACGTCGCATATTGGACTTATTTTGACAATTTTGACTGTTATTGAGACTATTTAAATTGATTTCATCCTAAATAGTGTATTCTTGACATGGAGTCAATTTTAAGCAAAGATTTGCGGGTTGATATAAGATATTTTATTACTGAGTGCTTTGAGTATTGGCGACATTTAATATATCTATATATTTCAAGCTACATGAATCATGATTTCTCAATTTTGACCGATGCATTCGCATCGCTGGCATCGGTCTGGATCCGCCCCTGCTTCTATTCATTTCTTATTCTATGCCAGGGGGTATCCTCCACAGTAACAATTGTCATTCAATAGGTCACATGATTGTTCACAGGAACACCAAACACAACTACACAAGACCTTCACTACCTTCCAACATTTGTTCTGGCACCTAACTCGTTTTATATTTTAATAATTTCTGAGGAAAAACTACATATATGTTTTGTAAATAGGAGCGTTTCATTGTCAGACCACTATGTTCTGCTGTTGGAAAAAGTGTTAGAAGAAAATAAAGCCTCGAGAGAACAGATGAACCAAATGGTGGACAACAAAAAGACGGTGCTAGGTGAACTTCATCAAAAGATTGATAATCTAAAGTCCATAAACCTTTCCAGACAAGTGCGCCAGACAGGGCCATCACAACGCATTCCAAAAATGTGCAGGGTATGTTTTTGCTTACATAATATTTACATATATTTACATTGTTTGTGTTTACTTGTGTGTATTATAAAGGCAGAAATATTATAAAGGCAGAAATATAGGACACGTTTAATAATATGGATCCCTTCAAATGATTTTAAGCCAATATTGTTCTGTTTCATATTAATCTGACACTGCAATCGAGCA